GAACCTTTATAAATGCTATTTCCCGTTTTCCCTTGCACATGCTCTTCCCTCTACTACCTGACAGAGGGAGGGAATTCCTGTTCATCTTCAGAGCTCAAGGTGCTCAAGATGCCCTTTCCATTGTCCTTCACAAGGTCAAATCCTCTCAGTATACAATGTCAAAGCAGTATGTATGTCCTCCATATTTATCACAGTTCCAAGTATATATGAATTTTTGTGATTTTGTTATCTCTCTCCCTCACTGCCATAAAATATTCATGAGGGCGGAGATGGTTTCTAGTTTTGCTAAATTTTTATTTCCAACATAATAGTTTCATTCACATAACTTTTTTTATAGGGAAAGAGAGAAGTTGGGAGGTGGGAGGGATGGAGCATTTTAGGTATGAAAGAAATGCCTAGTTGTCACCATGATTCCACTTTCCCTCTTCAAGAGTGGAATTTTGGCTAAGAAGCAATCTTTGCATCTAGGTAAAAGAATGTGATCAGTTCTCGGCAAGAGAATGTATTCAAGACTGTTAAGTATCAATTCTAATACCAGGATTTTAAGAAACTGATATGTCTTCTCCATATTCACCTTCCTCTTCCATCATGTGAGGAGCACAGTAAGGTCCTAGGGTAAGCCAAAGTCCTACGATGGATCATTGCACGGAGAAAATCTCATGCAGATCAAGAGCACCCTCAATTTAATTATGTGATTATAAACTAACTTTCTATTATATTAAGTTTCTTAAGTTTGGAGGTCTACAAGTTTTGTTACAAATAGTATTACTCCAACCAATTCAAAAATCGGTATTTTAATGTACTGGCTTTAATAAAAATCTATATATGCAATGGCTTATCATTTGCGGGCAGGCAGCAAGGGAACTGATATTGTGGGACAGAAAATGTATGATCCATGTAATGCAGGGGCAAAACATTTAAGAAAACTATGGCCTGCAATAGTTTGAAAGATAGACTGCACAGTTTTCAAGCTTATCTCTCTAGGAAAAGAGCTGAAAAGAAAAAAAGTAGTATTGTGTGTTGGCTTTTATTTGTATTTAGCAAGGGATTTCAAAAAATTAATGAGCTCAGATGAAATCAACCTAACTATTCATTGACTGATGAATGAAGGAAGAAAATGTGGCACGACATGCACACACGTACACACACAGAAATACCATTCAGCCTGAGAAAAAGAAGGAAATCCTGTCACTTTCACCAACACAGATGAACCTGGAAGACATTAATCTAAGTGAAAAAAGCCAGGCACAAATATTGCATGATCTCACTTATAATGTGCAATCTAAAAAAGTTGAACTCACAGAACCAGAGAGTAGTGGTTGCCAGGAGCTGGGGGGTGGGGAAAAGGAATGGGGAGATATTGGTCAAAAGGTATAAAGTTTCAGGTAGATGGGATGAATAAGTTCCGGAGATCTATTGTACAGCACATAGTGATTATAGTTAATAGGCTGGGGGGTGGGGAAAAGGAATGGGGAGATATTGGTCAAAAGGTATAAAGTTTCAGGTAGACGGGATGAATAAGTTCCAGAGATCTATTGTACAGCACATAGTGATTATAGTTAATAATAATATATTATATACTTGAAAATTGCTAAGACAGTAGATAGATCTTAAATGTTCTCACCACAAAAAATAAGTATGTGAGGTAACGAATATGTTAAATAGCTTGATTTAACCATTTCACAATATATGCATACATCAAAACTCCTCATTGCATTATAAATATTTTTGTCAATTATACTCTAATACATCCCTGGAGCTAGCCAGTTAGTTCAGTTGGTTAAAGAGTGGTGCTGCTAACACCAAGGTCTAAGGTTTGATCCCTGTACTAGCCAGCCACCAAAAAATAAAATAAGTCAAACAAAAATTATTCTCTAATACAGCTGGGGGGGGGTGGCAGGGGCAAGAAAGTAATGAGCTTAAGAAATAACTCTCTTGCCTTTGCAAAGTATATTTCTCCACAGAACTCAGGCAAGGTCCCACTTTTCTACAAAATTTTCTGTGAGCACTCCCAGCTTCATGGCTCTTTTCCTTATAGAAATCCTTTAAAGTTTTACTACCTGAATATTTATTAACTAACTACCATGTGCCCATAAGAAAAATATCTTTTATTCTTTCCGCGTTCAATGCTGCAGATGTATTTCTATGAAAATTTACCTCTTGGATACAAAAATAGTCCTGTGAACTTACCACCCGCAGCCCTCCAAGGGACTTCCTAAATGTAAAGAATCCAGAGGTGCGAGTGGGAGAGAATTAAAGGTGGGTTGAAGTGCAGATCTTAGCAGAATTCATTTGGAAAATGCGATTCTTTAAATCTATCTTTAAACAAATCAGCCTACTTACAGCTGGATTATACTTACTTTAGGACAAAGATTAGTTTTTCTCTCCATTCTGTATTTTTATATATTTGGTTTACTTGTTTTAAATTAATTTTCCACTCACACATACACATATACTAGGAACCCACACTACATGTCAGACAATGTACTAGGTACTAGCAACTATCAATAAGCAAGATCAGTAAGATCCTTGCCCTACTCTCTGTGTGTGTATTTGTGTGGTGGTATGTGTATATATATTTGTGTGTGTGTGTACATATATGTGTGTAAATATATATATAGTGTGTGTGTATATATGCATATTATGTATACACACACGCACAGCTGGGCTGGAGGAAAAAAAAGTGATGATTTCTTTTTTCTTCTCCAGCTATATATGTATATACATATATATGCTGTATTATATATATATTTTTATATGTTGTATTACACACATCGTGTGCATGTGTGTGTTTGCATAAATATACAGGATGGGCCTAGACTAGGTGAATTATGTCAGGCCCACACTTCTCTAGGGACACACTTAAGCAAGGCACAATCCTGTATAAACACTATACAGGGACAGTCCTATCTATATAAGTTCTATATGCATAGTCTATATCGGTGGTTCCCAAATGGGAATCCTTGGATAGGTAGCAAGGGAGCTGCATAAGAATTAAATACAAATTTGTTATAAATAGAAAATTCCAGTCTCTATTCTCAACAATTTCAATTTAGTAAGGCTGGAATTAATTTTTATAAAGTTCCACGTGGATAATTCTGACACTGGAAGATTAGGGCCCCTAATCACACAGTGCCTTGACACATTACTTAGCTGTTGCATTTTTCTTTTATTACAGTCAAAGCATGGCAAGTACTATGCTATTCAGTAACAGTAAGCATGAAATAAATTGTTTTCAAGTAAATAAACAAGGGTATTTTTAAGTAAAGCTATGATTTTTGTTTTGTTTTGTTTTCCCAAGTATAATAACAATTATCAAGAAGCTTTCTCTTAGGGACAGAAAAGAAAAATTGTGAGGCAGTACTTCTCAAAATGTAGAACATGGGCTACTAGTAGTATGGCAGATAATTTTAAATGGTACCCAAAACAATTTTAGATGATACACATGATTATTTTACATGGCACATGGACATACACTAATAATACTGGATCACAAGAAAAAATGTATTACCTTTTCAATTCTCTTTCAATCAAAATCCTCAGTTAGCTATCAGTATGTTACACGTATCATTGCTTGTCTCATTTTAAGAAATAGCAAGCATGCCTCAGAGCCTTTATATCTAGCCAGAATTTAGTAACATTGTTTTGTTTTCACAGTATTTTTTAAGGCTATCATCCATTTAAATCATGGGATACTGATTTTTCATTTACAGTGGTGAGATTAATAAATAGAAAGTGAATTTAAACAAAATAGCATAAATTGTATGCAGATATTGCAAAAATTATGAGAGTTCTCTAATGAAGTTTGGAAATACTACTATGTAAGGTATTACTAAAATTAACTAATATCTCTTTCTCTCACACACACACACAAAATATGTACAAATACAAACATAAACACCTACAAACACATTCAATAAACACATCTACAAACACATTCAATAATTAATTAATTCAAATGAACAATCAAAAGCCACAAAATACTTGTAGAAAAACATTCAGTGAAAATCCTATTGTACCACTTGACAAAATAACCAACATTACATGATATGACAATTACAGTTTTTACATTTTTTTTACTAAGCAAAATTGATAATCTCTGTCTGACTATACACACACACACACACACACACACACACACACACACAAGAAATATACACACACACACACACACACACACACACACACACACACACACACACACACACACAAGAAATATACTTATGCTGTTGTCTGAAAGCCAGGACAATTATCACTCTGTACTTTATTCCACACACCTTATAATCCTTGGGTCGGCAGCAGCCAAGATGGGAATGATCTGAAAAAGGATGTACAAAAGAATTAAAGTATAAATATTTCACATCAAAAAAATTTTTGATTTTATCTTTGACTTTTGCTACTCTCACTTTCTGCGATTGTAATTCACGCAGATTTCAGAAATACTTCAAAATCTTTCTACAATGTTACATAAGCAATGATGATAGGCCAACTATCTAAAATCTGTATCAATTCTTCAGCAATTACATGATTTCACAAATACTATTTTCATTAGAGTAGGAGATATCTAATAGAACAGGAATAATTTTTAGTTGATAATCCAATTTGTCCATATAAAATGGATAATTTTTAGTTGATAACCACTTTATGATGCAATATAATTTGTATACATAGATTTGATAAATATAGTTTAACTATAATGTGTTTCTATTTTTGAGGTCCTTGCTAGAATCAATTGGGTGTAATGAAAACAGGACCGGCTTTAGAAGGTGATAGTATATTGTAGTGTACAATCTTCATTGACAAATAAATCTGCATTACATATTCTAGGCCCCAGCACAGACTGTATGACCTTGTGCACATTAATTAACCTTTCTAAGTCTCAGATTCCTAATCTGTCTGATATACCTCTTTCACAATATTGTTTTAAAGATTACGTTAGACATTACATGTAGGGCACTAAAATAAATGTTAACAATTATGACTAACATCATTACCAACAACATCATTACTATCAAATTCTAACTCAAACAGGCATGTGTTCATTTTCAAATTCTGCCACTTATCAGATCTATTTTTCTGGTCAAGTTATATAAACAATTAATTCATTCCTCATTTTAAGAATATGAAGACAATGCTTGCCTTATCTCAGAGAGTCAGAGTGAGGATTAAATTATATAACTTGTGAAAGTAACTAGCACTTGGTGAATTTTAAAACTAATTCTAAATTCTCTTTAAGATACACTACATTGTACATGCAGATTTCGGGTTTTACTCATTACTTAAAGGAGTCAACCTTCAAGAATCAGTTTTTAAGTATTATAACCTCTGTTACATTGACAGTCAAAAAAATGAGAACCATAATTTGCAATTCTACTTCCTCACTCATAAATTCCATTCAAAAGCACTCTAAGATTCTGTATTTTACCTTTCCAAACCACCTTCTCCAGAAAAAATGAGCTATATGGATAGAGACCTAGCATAGTCTGTGTTCAGTAAGTTCTTTAGGTTTTTTTTTTTTTTAATGGCACAAGATGTTTGTTTTCTAGTTGCCCTGAATCATACTTGAAGTCAGCTGAAATATTAATGTCTTTTGCACAAGGCCAACTTCTCTATGTAATGTCAGTAAGATTCAATTTACTTTAAGTGCTTTTCAAAATTAAAAATAAAAATAAATTCCAGCCCAACTCCTCTGCTGTACAACTCTAATGTACACCATGGCCATGAGGAATAGAAAAAATAAAAGGATGACAGTCATATACTGAGCCTAATTCTCCAAAAATGCAAACGTTGAAAATTAAGGTAATAATTTCTGGAAGTGGTGTATATTCTCTGGCACCTAACATAATATTAAAAGTTTCAGTATGTTAAAACACGGGTATGTCTTCTGCTTTTTACAAACCACTTATATGCAGACAGGTTTATAATTTTCTTTCAATTTTAAAAATTAAGCTATTATTTTAATCTAAGTTTTCTCAATGTTCATATTTAATCACCCTCACCAACAATTAGGCACTAGCTACATTCTAAATGCAAAAGACAAAGGGGATAGAAGTCATGGCCCATGGCCATTAAGTACTTGAAATCTATTTTGGTTAAGTTATACAAAGTTGAATAACAGCAGAATAAAAGAACAGGCTAAAAGTCAGAAAGGTACACACAACTAATGCAATAAAAAGCTGTATCAAAGAATAACCCCTCAAGGTTGAAGGCAATCAGGAAAAACTTCCTAAAGATGGAGAAACGAGCTGAGCATATTAAATTGGTCTCACTTAAGAAAAGTATGAACAGAAAGGACATTGTTGGGGGGGAGGGGGGAGGGGAGAGAAGGAGGAGGGAGGGAGGTTTTGGTAATGGGTCACAATAATCAACCACATTGTATATCAACAAAACAAAATAAAATAAAATGAAAGAAAAGAAAAAAAAGAAAAGTATGAAGAAAAAGAAAGAGCTAGTTCGGATCTTGTGTGTGTGATCATGAACATCTTTAAATCTCAGGTTTCTTCATCTGTAAAATGGGGATAAAAGTCTCTAAGTTTCATGAAGTTATTGTGAGTAATTGACAAATGAAGTATAAAGTACTTGGAATATCAGCTGGCAGAAAACACACATGCAATAAATATTAGCTTTTATTTGATTCTCCAATAACCTCATGAAATAGGTGTTATGAACTAAATGTTTATGCCCCCTCAAAATTCATATGTTGAATCCCTAATCCCCAAAGTCACAGTATTTGTAGATGTGACTTCTGAATGATAATTACAGGTAGATGAGGTCATGACTGTGGAGCCCTAATGATGGATTAGTGTGCTTATAAGACACACCAGAAAGCTTGTTTTCTCTCTGAAAGTACAAAAAGACAAGGTTATGTGAGCATACAGTGAGATGGTGGCCTCATACAAGCCAAGAGAAGAGACCTCAGAAAGAAACCTACCTTGCCGGCACCTTGATCTTGGACTTCTCAGCCTTCAGAACTGTGAGAAAATAAATGTCTATTGTTTAAGCCACCTAGTCTATTATGGCATCCTGAACAGGCTGCTACAATAGGTAGGAATGATTATTAGTTTTTACATTACATTTTAGAAGACTGACTTCCTATCTAACAAGTGATGAAATTGAGTCTTTGATTAGTTCAGTGCTAATTATACTAATATAAGAAAAGTGGGAAATTTCCTTATTATAAAATAAAAGCATACAGGAGGATAAAAGTGTCTTTAGTTTCAAAACTGACATCAGATTATGTATTTGTTAACTAAATGAACGTGACATATAATCAAATTAATAAAATGCCAAGTAATGACTAACAGTTCTAGTTAAAAAAAACTGACAGTCATGAAAACATTTCCTTAGCAACCATCTAATAAGAAACTGAGATCCACTTTGTCCTAAAGTTACCATTCACACAGAGACTAGTCTGATAACTTAGAGCCTCTGCATCCTTCCTCTCTCCATAGCTGACCCTCACCCACAAGCTCAGATATGACTCAGTACCAAGGGACCAATTTTGATTTTAAGTAAGGACTTAAGGAGCTTTAATCTAAAATTCATCACCTCTGTATCAATTTATGCTTTCTATCAAGATAATTTTTGAACCTCATTCTGATAGTTATAGCCAATATGTGTTCCCCATGTGTCAATTCCTATTTTGTCAACCTCAACTTCCATAGTACTCTACTATGAAGGGTACTACTACCTTCCTTTTTATTTACTTCAAAGAATTAAACCCCATTATTCTGGCAGGTAGTGCTACTATTTATTTCAAAAATTCCCTGAATGTTAGTGCATACTTGAACCTTTAAAGAGTATTTGCCACTGAAGTACTTTCAGGACAATGTCTCAGTCTGTTTTGCGCTAAGATAAAACAATACCTGAGACAAGGTAATGAATAATGAATAGAAATTTATTTTCTCACAGTTCTGGAGGCTGAGAAGTCTAAGATCAAGTCACTGGCATCTGGCAAGGGCCTTTGTGGTACAACATCACATGGTAGAAGGGCAAAGAGAGGGCAAGAGGGGGCTGAATTCACCCTTTTATAAAGGAACCAACCCCACCCATGGCCTAATCACCTTTTACAGGTCCCATGTCTTAATATTCTTACAATGGCAATTAAATTTCGACATGAGTTTTGGAGGGGACAATCATTCAAACAACAGCACCTACCCTACCTCAATACCCATGTAACATTCTAGGGTTGGCCTCCAATCTCCTGTCAGTCTTCTTGGAGCATAGGGCCAACACTTTTGCCTTTCAACTGAAAGTTATTAGAATCAATAAAAGTTCTGCTGGCAAATATAATTATCAAGAAATCAGATGCTGGGGCCGGCCTGGTGGTGCACTGGAGAGTGCGCCGCTTGGGAGCGCAGTGGCACTCCCGCCGAGGGTTCGGATCCTATGTGGAGACCGGTTCCCGCTCACTGGCTGAGCGCAGTGCGGGCGCAACACCGAAGGTTGCGATCCCATTGCCGGTCCCTGGTACGGGCGCGACACCGAGGGTTGCAATCCCATCACCGGTCAGTAAAAAAAGACAAAAAGGAAAAAGAAAATAATAATAATAAAAAAAAAAAAAAGAAATCAGATGCTTAAGTGCTCCAAGAAAATCTTCCAAAGAAACATCTATATTGAAGTTATTTTCCACTGGTTTGTTCTTAAAGCTCATTTTTCATGTCCATAAATTTCCTTCAAGAGGGAAACAGTTAACATCTGTTTCTAATTTCACATAACCTGCTATTTTGGATATAAAAGTCTTATTGATTACAACATCTATCTCACTGTCACTGCTACAAAAACAAAATACACAAGCACTGCTTATTCGCAGAAAAGAATGTTTCATTTCTCATTTACAGAAAAAAGACACTATACACTAAAGTTAAGAAACAGGAGGAGATGCTCACTACATATTATGATTCTATTTTTTTGACTATATCATTTTTCTTTCTCTTTGACTTTCTGTGTATAGTAAATTAACTTTTAAAAAGGCTGCTAATGAATACTTGCTGAACTCAGTAGCTAATGTCAACAGATATTAACACTCAAATATCCTTAATTATATAATACCATTTAATTTTATTCATAAAAATCATCTTCATATTGAATTTAAGAAGCAACTTATCTAACCATAAGGACTAGGGCTAAAAATAAAAAAAAAATATTCTTATGAACTAATCTAAAGTGTGTTATCTTCTCAGAAATATAAATTATTATATAATACTGATTTTCAGTGTTCCATGTGCTAGGGCATTTTACACGGTAATATTTGCCATGTTATCTTCATTCTTTGCTCAACTAATTATCAAAGTAGTTAAAGTTACTTGCTCAAGAACGTCAAGTTTATAAATAAGTAGTAGAATGCCTAACTGTATGTCCAAAACCCATACCCTGAACTCTTTTCACTCTGGCGTTTACCAAAACCTATAACACAAGGTGAGAAAAGGATTCCATAATCAAACAAGTTTAGAAAATGTTGAGTAAAAATTAACCAAGTTTTTTTTGTACTTAAAGGTATCACAGTCTTAAAACGCTAATATGTATTCTGAATCTCAAAGAGGGAGATGGTTTATAGCAGCACAGAAATTCTTTATTTTTAGAGAGTAAATACATGGATGTTTTAAAAAGCTGCACTATGCCACATTATTCAATGATACAGCAAAGATTCTGTTTTTGTTAACAACACTAAATTAAAGGCTTATTATAGCTCAGGCAACTAAAGCAATGAAGAAAGGTAACTTCTAGCTTACCATTGTGCATCCTGAACCACCCATCTCTTTCACAGTCTCTGCTAGATGATCCATGTAAAGTATCAGCCCTGGGACTTGGGGGATCAACCTAGGAAAACAGAATTTCAATGTAAAAAAAGAGTTTAAATGTCCCCAGTCTTTTAATCTCATGGCACCAAGAAAACAACTAGAGTACATTGACCACATATCATCAGGTTAACGTGAGGGTGTTGTATGGGTCAGGCATGTTCCAAAGTCAGAGTTTACTCAAGTATTTTGCTGTTCATTACTAAACTAAATGGAAATTAAACTCCAAAAAATTGTAATTATACATTTGTGCCTACCTTAAAATGAACAGATTTTGCAGTTGAAATGTCCATTACACCACTAGTTTGCTTAGTGGAGTAAAAAAGCCTAGTTTGCTTTCCATTTTACAAGGTTAAAAAAGTGATCTACTTCACTATATTTAAAAAACACGTCTAGACGTTTGGTCTTATCTCCTTAGCACGCACATTTTTAATTCAAACAGTGTCTTTACCTAGCTGTATTCAGAGCCGAACATGTTGAGTGATTTATAGTTTACAGATAATAGTAATAGTCAGCCACGTTTTCTAACCAAAAATAACGTCAGAATGATATAAATGTGTAAAAAGACATCCTTATTTATCAAAAATAAATATTTTGTGCATCAAATGACACTTTCAAGAGGGTGAAAAGATAATCCATGAAATGTGAGAAAATATTTGCAAAGCATATATCTGATAACCAGAATATATGAGAACGCCTACAACTCAACAACAAAAAAAACTAGATTAAAAAACAGTCAAAGGACTTGAATAGACACTTCTCCAAATGGTCATAAGTACATAAAAAAATGCTCAACACTAGTCATTAAGGAAATGGAAATCAAAATCATAGTGAAATACCACTTTATACTCATTAGCATGGCTATACATATTTTTTTAAAAAAGAAAACACAGGGAGCAAGATGGCGACGGGTCTGGAGTGAGCATGCCAGAGGACAGAGAGAGCCTGTGANGCGGGAGCGCCGCCACGCTCCCAAGTGGTGCACTCTCCAGTGCGCCACCGGGCCGGCCCTACCCGTATTTTAATTGGATTACTTGTTTTTTTGATGTAAAGTTGTTTCAGTTCCTTGTATAATCTGGATATTAATCCTTTATGAGATGTATATTTAGCAAATATTTTCCCCCACTCTGTTGGTTGTCTTTTAACTCTGTTAATTGTTTCTTTGGCTGTGCAGAAGCTTTTTAGTTTGATATAATCCCTTTTGTTTATTTTTCCTTTGGTTGCCTGTGCTTTTGAGGTCACATTCATGAAATATGCCCAGTCCTACTTCCTGGAGTGCTTCCTCAATGTTTTCTTAAAGAAGTTTTATTGTTTCAGGGTGTATATTTAATTCTATAATCCATTTTGAGTTAATTTTATTATATGGTGAAAGGTATGGGTCTAGTTTCATTCTCCTGCATATGGATATCCAGTTATCCCACCACCATTTACTGCAAAGGCAGTCTCTTCCACAGTGCATAGACTTGGTGCATTTGTCAAAGATCAGATGGCTGTAGGTGTGTGGGTTGATTTCTAGATTCTCTTTTCTATTCCATTGATCTGTGTGTCTGTTTTTATGACAGTAATGTGCTGTTTTAGTTATTATAGCTTTGTGGTATAGTTTAAGTCAGGTAGTGTTGTACTTCCAGCTTTATTTTTTTTTTTGCTCAGAATTGCTTTGACTATGCATGGTCTTTTGTTATTCCATATAAATGTTAAGATAGTTTTTTTCCATTTCTGAGAGAATTGTCATTGGAATTTTGAATCGGACTGCACTGAATTTGTATATCACTTTGGGTGATATGGACATTTTCATAATGTTGATTCT